GGGGCCGTTCTGCTCGCCGTGAAACAGCCGCCGTGCAGCCAGCGAGCGGGGCTCTGCGCGCTGGAGCGGTGAGCTGCCCTGCCCGGCGGGCTAAAAGCCTCCCGGGCTGCACCCGCAGCGTGGCCTCGGGTCCTCCCAGTAGCTTTAATAGCGATAACGATCGAGGCATGGAACATGTGGCGAACGTGTTCGGCACCAGCAGCGGTGCTGGTGCCGAAGCCGAGACCTCGCTTTATAGCCTTTCGTTAGCTCTGTTTAGCTGGTTCTGGCTGTATATTAGAGAGGCTCGTATTTGCCACAGCAGCAGGTGTTTAAGGTGGATAAGGAAAGAGGATTTCCTTTCCCAAAGCTGGATCGGTATATTGCACTAATAAACAGCAAATCTGTTTTAAATGATAGCGGTTCCATATTTGTATGCCACCCCGGTGGATACAGCCCTGCAGAGATGCACGCGGGTCGGTGGAACAGGACTGTATCGTAGTGCCGTGCATCATGAGATTTTTGAAGGCTGCTGTAGACCTGCTAGCAGAACTTGTCCTGTAGTAAATAATTTGAAAACTCCCCGTGTTTCTTGCTACATGCAATAACGCTAGGATGGGTTAAACCTTTTTCTTCCTAATAAGAGCTGGGAAAAGGGTTTTGCCTGCCATTTTAATGCCTGATTCTTCCGCTGTGTCTACAATGGGCTTCTAACCACTGGGTAGTCTCAAAAAAATGCTTTCTCCTGCTAGTAGAACTAATGGTTAAACTAATGGTTAACTGTGCGCTCACTAATGGTTATTAGTTTGATCTTCTAATGTTGTAGTGTCAATCATGTGGTAAACAACGTCTGTTGCTGAAATTATAATTTTTGAAGTGCCTCTCGTATTTAAAGATCCATGAAGACTTTATAAATAGATTGTTTTAAATAGTATAAGACTGTGCTTTCAGAACATGTATATAAGGAGCCTCTTCTGTTCCTAAGGAGTTCTAGTTTTCTTTTTTAGCCCTGTCCCTGATTTACTTGGGGCCCCGTGAAGGTCTCTCGCTGGAGGGAAACAGCTATGGTTCAGGATTTTGGGATTAGCAAACACACAAGGGCTCAGAATTTCATGGTACCCCCCAACGTAGCACAACTGTTTTGGGAGAGTGACATAAATCCAGGCTTTTCCAATAATTGTTGAGCACTGCTACACTTGGAGAAACCTCACTGTAAGGAGGTCTTGGGAGTAGCCAGGACCGCTATGTCTGCTCTGGCTGGGAATGAGGGGCACTACTGGCAGTAGAAATAGATAACCTCTGAGTGGGTGCGTCTTGCCTCTTCTGTCAGATTTTGGCCATGGACGCTGGGTCTTTCACTACCACTTTTCCTGGGAAAGGTTTACTGGTGGGTACTTCCTTCCTATCGATAGGATGTTATCTTTTCCTCTCGTTATTCTTGTAGGAGTGAATGTTAAGAGATATTTTTTTTTTTTTTTTAAAAACCATGAAATAATTGCCCCTCTTGTGCTATGGCGTGGCAGAGGCTGCTGAAATCATGTGATTATTTCTAGGAATTTGACACTCATGTTCTATTTTAAAGACTTTACTTTTGTTTTTATGTGTTGGAGATCCACTTTTCATGGAAATGAAACTGGAAAAGAAACTTGCAGCCAGCGACAGGGAATGAGTCTCCTTCCTCAGCTACCGGTTGTCAGCAGACAAATAACACTGTTTCTGTTCAAGATGTTATATTTTAAAATGGAAAAGTGATGGAATGACTTAATCTTTTCCTGTATTTCATTGCTTTTTCACTTGGAAGTCACTAGTTTTGCTCTTGCACAGGAACAGTGATTTTTTTGTAAGGCAAATGGGATAGCAGTGTACGCGTGACCGTTCTGGATACATGGAAAAATAGAGCGTTCACTACTGTTCACCTTCCATTTCTTTATCAGGCTCCTTCTTCTTTGAATTCAACAGAACAATAACTATTACTTCCGTCTGACTTCAATCATATTTGCCATTGATTCGAACCTTATTTTAGGGAGTGTTAAGTGTGTCCTCCAAGGACAGCCCTTGAACAGAAACAGAGATTTTATAATCACCTAGTCATTTGGTACGTTGTCCTTGCAAATTCAACTGGCCTAATTTAAGGTTGGGCAAGACACTTAAAGCCAAGTGGGTGCCAATGAGCGAAAGGCAACAGGGAACTCTTAGAGCTATGAGCTGGTTAGTACTTTTTGATGTTTAAGGATCGTTTGAGTGGTGTCAGTATCAAGAAAATGTAACTATTTTGAGGGATAACTAACTCCATTGTAACTTGCTTTTCAGTTTAGCTTTCAACAGCTCTTCGAGTGTTCCTTCACAAACAAATAAACCCTCCCTTCAGTTGCTAGAAATTTAAAACGGGCTGATGAGGGTAGAGTCAGTGAAAAATATTGTGCACAGAAGAAACTCCCTCCTAAGCAAATTTAAGCAAGTCTAAGCTAGTTTATGAGAACATGCATCATCAGAAGGCAATAGTATATGGGGGAGATAAAAGCAGTAAAAGAGGAGCACAGTAAAAGAGGAGGATTCCATATTAATTTATGTATTGATCAGAGTTGCAAGTGGGAATTATGTAATTTAATTCAGGGTATTTAACGTTTTGAAAAGGATAAATACCTCTGTTCTACCATGTTTTTTTCTGTAGTCTTAGAAGATCTGAATCTCTTCTGGTGCAAAGGCCATGCTTTTACTAGGTACTGACTTCACCAGCAGCTTAAATGTGTGGCCTGCAGTCCTGGGGGTCCACAGGGTACTCCTCTGGTGACTGCCAGGAATGAGGCAGAAAAACAAGTTCTACAAAGCAGTACTCCCCATATCTGAATAGGCCCACTCTTCAAACGGGAGAAGTTTAGGGATTCAGAAACCGAAGAAGGTTGAAAATCACGGCTTTTAAGTTCAGCACACACGAGCGTTAGTGTTGGGGAAGGTGGAAGAGTGCACGCATACTGCAAAAACCAACAGTGCCACCTGGTGAGAGTGGGACCAGGAGAGTTGGGCCACGAGGAGGGCAAATGTCCCCAGGCGTGTCCCCAGCTCCTCCACCTCGGGGTTGGGGGCAAGCCCCTGGCCAACAGGGAGAGAACAAAGGGCTTCTAAGGCCGTCGTGGGGATGGGTTCTCTTCAGACCTGCAGGAAGTAGGTGTTTGCTGCCTCACTGTGAAAAGGGGAGGCGGTGGGTATGTTAGGGGCACTCAGCCTGTCATGAAGGACCACATGTTTTATGGCAGGACCAAAATGCAAGCAGGTTGCTCAGTTTTTTCCTTTTGTAACTTCAGCAGCTAGAGTAACGATTTGGGGGAAGAGAGGGTAATGTGATTTGTTTCAATATAGGACCAGTAAAAGTGCTACCAAAAGTCTGGTGTTATGCAGCCTTTTAGGGGTAAAAAATACATGATTAAGTTTTAGGCTCTTAAGCTGTGGTCAAGGGTTGCATAACACTGGGGAAAAAAGAAAAAATTTTGGTGAGCATTAGGGAGATTTAAGCCTTCAGTGGGGGAAGAAGAGGTTAGATCCCTGCAGATCAAGTAGAGCAGGTCTCCTGTGTGACTGATCCCACGTTGTGGGCATAGGATGCTGCAGTTTTTCTGGTTATACATATACAACATGCAGAACAAAAGCCTCAACACACAATTTCATCGCTGTAGCAGGCATCTGCACAATCTTTTACAGGGGCGGGGGGGCTGAAGCAGTTAGTGCTGTTGAAGACTTATTCGGGATGGGAGAGGGAGAACAAGAAAGTCAGAGAAGGCAAACTGGAAAGATGTCGAAAGGACATGGGAGCGATGGAAGAAGCAATCGGCAGCGCAGCTGCGGGTGTGAAGCTCTGTGCACTAGGTGGGCTCTAGTTGCGAAATGGCTGTGCTCTGCTGCAGCGAGTCTGGAAGATGCCTGCCGGCAGACAGGCTGTTGCATTTTGATAGTTTGCCTCTCCGAAGTGTGAAATGTTTTGTTTTCCAACGTTAAACACCACCACTGTTCTCAGACTGGAAAGATAATGTTTGATTGCAGAGAGAGCATTTGGGGAAGATAGTATTTGCTTTGCTTTAGGTCCATTATAGCTATGCAAAAGAGGGTGGCAGTTGCAGAGTAGGGTTAATGTTTTTTAGCAGTGTAGGTTGGGTGCAGCCTTAGGCGAGGCAGACTGGTTTGGAAATACTTGTGGCTGTGCAAAAAGGAATCTCTAAATGAGCTGCAAAAGTCAAATGATTTACAAAGCAGATCTGTTGTTAAAGCAACCCTTCTCCAGCCGTACTCGGGGGCTTTCTGGGGAAGGGACAGGGTCTAGAAAATGCCAAGCACGTTTAGGTTCCATAGCAAACAAAACAAGAAAAAAGACGTGCAACACATTCACCATGCAGACATCATATAGGTGAGAACAATGCCTGACTGAAAACAGACATTTACAAAAAAAAGTCAATGGATTTAAAATGTATGAGGCTCAGAAGTCCCATTCTCTCCAGTTCCATACAAACTGACTTCCAGGAAGATAGAGCTTTTCACAAGTGCCACCTGATGCAAGTGTTGATGGACTGCTTTTGATCGTGACTTAGCTGGAAGCAAAATAAAAACCACTATTGAGATAAACCAAAGACCAGTTGAAATGATCCTTTCTAAAAGGATGGTGATACATATTTGGTCATTAGCAAGTTGAGAGCAATGATTTGTCAGCGAGGACTTGAGACTTGAATTTACCGGAGAGTTACTGTGTTGAAAAGAATGCTGATGCTTAGAACACATGTAATTATTTTAACTCCGTAACTGCTACTTGTACAAGAGAATTCCAAGGGCAGTTCCTTTACAGTTGCTTATATTTACATATATATGCAAGAACATTAATAATATTCCATTATCCTCAACTCCCTGTGTAAATTAGTGCTGTCAACTCTCTGCTTGCAGGAGTATACAGCCGTAATGCCGTACACCCTACCCATAACTGGGAAGCACTATTTACATTAGGGGTTGCCGGGAGGAATTTGTTAGGAAGCAGATCGAGAACACTTCTACCAGTTTTGTACTAAATGAGGGATCCCCGTGTAACAGGAACGTTCCTCAGAGACCACGTCTGTCTCCTGTAAGGACGTGAACAGAGGTGGAAGAGATGTTGGAAGCCCGCGTACCAAAAGATAATTTTAAAATCTTCTCAGGAGGGATTGGTAGTGTGTAACAAAGGTGACTTTCTCAGCACAAATACAAGCACAGAAAGATACTGTTTTTCCTTTTTTCACTTACTATGCCAAGTAGATTTTTTTAATTTTTATTTCAATCGTTTTATACGCAGAAATCTTCCTAGGGAAAAACTTAAACTCTTTTCACCACAGTTTTGTAGACCAAAGAAATCCCACTTTTTAATCCCAATTCACCCCTGTCAGCTCCCTAACAGCTCTTTGTGGCATCGTTCTCCCATTTTTATTATTGTTCTTTGAAGACAGAAATACTGAGTGATTATGTGTGAGACTTCTAGAAAGGGTTGCAAGACTCCCATAAAAATCCCGAAACAGGCAACTGAGGTAAACAGAGTGCTATAAATAGTTGTGGTGGGAGGGGGACAGGGCAAAGCTAGTAGCACTCCTCCAGGCTTTAAGCTAAGCTGTGCCCCTGTGCAGCTCTAGTACAAAACACCTCTACACTTATAGACGTGTATCGCTGTATGGATTGTACAGTTATCAGTATTTATTACAGAACACATTGAGTGACAACTGATTTAACTGGTACAAAACTGTGTGTATGCCGGGCCAAAAAGGCATACAAACTTGAGAAGGTAGCAGCTGAAATAGCCAGTAGATTATTCGGAACAAGTAGGGAAACTCTGCGTAAGAAAGTCGGTAATTCTTCCTGTTACTAGCATGCACGGGCCCACGGGCATAGGAATTCAGCGTCAGCTGCTCGGCGCCGTAATACTGGGTTAGGGAGTATAGGATTCCAACACCTGAGATGCTCTGTGCAAAGCACAGTCGAACAGAGGTCTGGTAAGAGGGTTTAGTAACCTGAACATGCGAATTGCTTCCTTTCGTCCTGTGGAAGTGAGAGCTGTAAAATGTAACGACAGCAGTTTCAAGTAAACGTTAACTATTTCCGTGATGATTATTATCGCAAATGCCAAGTTATTTATCTAATTGTGGTTAATGTGTGAACAGAATTGCACCTCTTATCAGGCCTCTAGACATGCCTTTCTACCTTCATCTGGGATGTAGGTTATTAGGGTGTTTCATAGTATCTTTGAGCTTTCTCCCAAATCTCAGGTGTTACCAACACCTGGTGTGACAGTCGTGAGGACAGACAGACAAAAGAGAGTCCCAGCAGCTCAGGAGTTTATTTCCAAAACCCACATTTGTCCAGGTCAGTGATTCTTAACTCTCTCTTGCCAGAAACGCACTCCAATAGAGACGTGGAGCCTCTGTACTGCTCAGCTTTTCTTGACCTTCATTTATGGTTTTCTTAAAAGAGGCGCGTGGGTTCCTGCGGGTCAGCAACCAGAAGCCGCTGATCTAAATTCACTGCAGGGGACTGAATGGTTTTCCTTATATAATAGATGTTGATATACCATTTGGTGACCCCTTTAGAAATACTTCGGTACTTCTGGTTAGTGAAATGATTAAACTTTGTCCAAATGGTAGACATTCTTTTTTTTTTTCCTTTAAAAATATTGCTTAAAACCTATTTTTTTCCCCCAAGTGATAGAGAGAAATAGGGATTGAAGAAGCTGAGGGAAGCTGAGCGGAATATGTCGCAGATTCTACCTCATAAATGAACATCTTCCAGGATAAGTGACAGAGAATGCAAAATGTTTAGTGGTGTGTGTGTGGCATGGACCTACGTAATTTTGAATTTTATAGCAGAATTACAACTATTCATATTTAATTGTTTTTTATATTTAAGACCAAAACAAATGTCCGTCTAGAAGCTTCCAGTGCTCTAACTATAATCAAACTTGCAGCTTAACCTGCCCAGTAGCTTTATAAGTTTATAAATAATCAGACATCTGCAGTTGGAGGAGAATTTAGGTGCAAGCTGACAGCTTTTTAGCCAATACTAGAAGAGTGTCCCAGCACCCCTAAGCAGGCTAGGTATAAGGCTTGTCCCTATATTTGGTCTGCGAGCTGTCTCAACACAGGTTAAGGGGCGATTCGGGCCCACAGAATTCAGGAGCCTTCATTTCCTCATGAACGTGGGGATCTTCTTACCGCTGGAGGTACTGAAATGTTTGGAAAGGGACCATACAACATCTTATAGGCAGGAGGAGTGCTTTACTTGCGACTACACTGATTTTTGAAGGAACAAGGAGACTATAAATGTAGGAGAAACGCAAGGCTAATTTTGTTTTAAGAGACCATGACTTCAATTCATTGAGTATTCCTAGCATAAAATTTGAATAATAAGTTACAGCCTATTTTCTGCAGTAGAGAGAAAGCGGTGACTTGCTTTGGAATGCAGATGGTCCCCAAACAACAGGCGCGATGCTCCTCAATTAAATTAAGGGTCAAGCAGCCGTTTGCTGGGGTGGACGGTATTATTGGGAACGTAAAGGTGAAGAGCTGGAAACGTGCAATAGCGTATTTATTGTTAGCACCCTACAGCTTGGCAGACATCCCCAAGCTTACGAGACCGGCCACACGCCTTCGGCGCTGGGCCGACTGCCTTCCGTGAGGTGCCTCTGCTCCCGCCAACCGCGCGCCTCGGGGCTCAGCCTGCAGCTGTCCTGGGCCGGGGTCACTGGCCGCCGCCAAGAGGCGCTTGATTTGAAATTAGGGGAATTTGCACATGGCAGGCAGGGCCGTTTAGGGAGGGAGCCTGGTCTGGGGCGGGAATTGCTAAACACTCGGGAGCAGGCCCGCGCTTCGGGCAGAGCTGCCCGGCTGCGAGGGGCGGGCAGCAAGCACTTGAGGC